GTCAGTGCGCAGAAGAGGCGAACATATTGCCACACTAAGACGCTGCCGATTTCTAGATCGCTGTTTGGTTGCCCCCCGGTGCTGGAGGCAGATGGGCTGACCGGACATGAAGTCCCCCGCTGAGGCGAGGGAACAGGTGGGGAGTGCTACCATTTTCCCGAGGAGAGGGAGGAGTATAAGGCTGGGCTGGCCATAAAAAGGCTCATCAGCCTACCAGAGCAGGGGAGATGCGCTCAAGAGCAGCGTCGGACCCGTGATCCCTAGCGCGGCCCGTTGGCACGGCCGCACCTGGAATTGTTCTGCCATTTGGCAAGCAGCGAAAGAGTGCCATGAAAGAGCCCTTATGCCCTAGGCCGCGAAGTAGGGGATAAGGTAAGGGAATACCTTATGACACGGATGAAGGTGCAAGAGGGAGAGGGGGAGAGGAAACAGACGAACGAGGTGCTGCGTGGAACCCTGCTCGCTACTGAACGGGCACTAGCCAGCCATCCCACTCTCCTAGTTCGGCACGGCTGTGACTCTTGGAAAGCTAGGGCGGCAGAGCACTGGCTGCTTGAGCCTGTGTGCTCCCAAAGACGTGGCGCATGGACGCCTGGGGGCGGGACCATGCAGCGGCCATGCCCATTGGGGGGCGCTGCAATCTCCCAGAGACCTCCTGTGGGAGGGGGGAGGGGGGAGAGTGCGAAGCGCGCGCCAGCGAAGATAATCGTGCGAGCGTTCGAGGACGACCTGCCCGTAGATCTGAATCGCTTCGCGCTTCACCCCGACCAGCCGCTGGCGGGGGCCGGCTCGGTCACCAACAGCCGCCTGGAGGAGCTTCGGAGGGCGGGTCGGCGGTGGTTAGGGGAACAGGCAGTGGCATAAACATAACCAAAGTGGTTAGGGGAACAGGAAGTGGTTAGGGGAACAGGAAGTAGGTGGGCGGTAGTTAGGGGAACGAAAAGTGGCATAAACATAACAACCCGGAGGTCCGCGCGGATTTCTCGGATCGGCGCTGGACCCCCCTCCTTGGCGCGCGGAGCGCGCCAGGGGCGGCGCCGGAGGCGCCGCCGGGGGCCCCAGCGCCGATCCGAGAAATCCGCGCGGACCTCCGGGTCTTTATGTTTATGTCACTTTTTGTTCCACTAGTGGTGCAGCGGGGGGGGGGGGCGGGGTCGTTCGCAAGCTCCTCTGGCCATCGCTCGGACGTCCATTCCCTGTTTTTTTCGGTTTCGTGCGTGGTTTTTTCGCCAAATGATCGAGGATACTCCTCGATGGTCCTCGCCGAAGGAAAAATGCACACGTTCGAGCGATGCCAAGTCCTTGGATCTCTCACCTCTCAGCTCCCTCCTGCCGCTCGTGCGGCCGAGCTCCAGGCCTTCGGCCCTGGGGCTGAAGACTCCGACGGGCCGCCCGCGTACTCATAGGCGGCAGCGCGACAGTGCTGGCTGCCAGATGATGATGAGGAGCACGAGGTGCAGGAGAAAGAGCAGGAGGAGAAGGTGGAGGAGGAAGAGGAGGAGGAGGAAGAGGAGGAGAAGGAAGAAGAGGAGGAGGAGGAGGGGGGAGGAGGAAGAGCAGAAGGAGGAGGAGTGCGCGGTTGCATGTGCACCTCTAGTCCAGCGCGGGTTGGCGCTGGGCTCTGGCGTCGAGCCAGGCGCGGGGGCCTTGCGTACAGCGCGGGTGTCGAGATCGAGTCCCACCAGGACGCCCCTGCCGCCCCTCAGAGCGAGGGTGAGTGGCAAATCGCCCTCAACGCGTGGGCCGACGATGCGGCCAAGCAGGCGCTCAGCCTGTGGCCCAGGCACGCCCTAGACAGGTGCGCCAGGAAGACGCGTGCGCCGAGGTGCGCCGTGGCTTGTTGCACCTGGGGCGGGTGCTGGCAAATGGGCCAGCTCCCAAGGTGGAATGGGCCCACCTGCTCCCGCGTGCGTCTCCCCCGTCGGCGGTCAGACCGTGCTTGCTCCAGCACGAACTGCACGTGGTGGCTGATGGCCGCTTGCGGTGCGTTCAGTGCTTGCATGGTTTTCGGAGCTGGAAGGCTGGGATGGCCTCCGAGTGTGGGCGCGAGGCGCCCCCGAGCTGGCGGCAGCAGCACGCAGCCTCGCATGTCCTGTGGGGCGCGACCATCGCGCCCAGTGGCACGCCGCTGAGCAAGGCGACTTTCTGCTGTACTGTGTTCAGTGTGCGCAATATGCGCAATTGCTGCCAAGCGGGCTGACAGAATCTTGCCCAGCCCGCAAGCCTGGTTTCGTGATGGCCAAGATGGCCAAGGAGCGGCGTAGCCGCTTCGAGCGAGGCAAGCACCCGCACACAGGACGCGCGGAGGTGGTTCTGGAGAGCGGGGCTCTCTCTGATCTGTCTTTCCTCACTCGGGGGAGTGAGGCCTGTGCATAGTGCACTCTCTGCAGCTGGCACGCTCGGCGTCCACAGAGGGAGCACAAATGAGATTGCGAAGCCTGCGAGCACCTACGGGAGAGAGAGGGGGAGGAGGAACAGGAGGTGGCTTTCGTGTTAAGAGCAATCAGGTGCCGCAACGCATGTTAGATTGTGCCGCGCGAGCGGCCCCAGTCTCGTTGTTAGGCGTAGCAACGGCGAGTTGCATTCTCGAAACTCTGTACCCTAGCGAGAGACGCGTGAGGGGGGATGATCAATCGTGCGTCATAATTTATTAAGCAAGGACGGATGGAAGTCTCCGGTCGCAGTGCAGCTGGACATGCATCTCGGAAAAGACAGGCGCGTGCGAAGCCACCGGGCTCTGCGCTTCTTGTAGAGAAGCCTGTTGACGGCCATCTTGTAGATTCCCTCTCCCCACCAAACCTCATGCCGAAAAACTAGACCCTATCATGAAGCAAAGGCATGGCGCGCGGGCGCCTGAGGAGGCGAGGCCGATCCGAGGCCATGCTTGGGGGCACGCTGCGATTTCCCAGAGACTTCTGGGGGAGGTGTGAGATTGCGCAGAAGGTTGCATTAGCTTGGGCAGCCCTGCTTACGTGATGGAGTGAACGATTGCCTGCCGCATGCCAAGAGGAGAGGCACTCGTGCCAACCCGCTCACGTTGTTCGGCTTTGGGGTGGCGAAGCGCTGCTCGAGATGCCCCGAACCGAGGAGGAGGAGGAGGAGGAGGAGGAGGAGGAGGAGGAGGAGGAGGAGGAGGAGGAGGAGGAAGAGGGGGAGGAGGATGATCGTCTCGGGTCGGAAAAACGAAGGAAAAGAGCACAAAAGGACGGTGTGGGCGAATGAGCTCACGTGTCAGCCGGCTCCCCGCCGGCGCCCGCGCAAGAGCCCTTGGGGGGAGGGGGGGATGCTTCGTAGGTCGGCCGTGTCCCCCTACAGGCAGAGTTTGGAGGAACATTTGGACAAAATACCCAAACACATGCACAACAATAGCCAAACATAATCGACAAATCGTCCCCAGACTATTTTTGGACTATTCTTGAATCTTACCCTTGTAGTGGGACAGGCCCGACTTAGCCCTTGGGGGAGGGGGGGCCCCCTCCCCCTAATTTCGGATGCCCTCACAGAGCGATCTTGATCGAAGAAGGACGCAGAGAGAAGGGGTCCGGCGCTCTGGTCGGAGCTTCTGCGACGCTTCGAGGCTTTTGCGTCGAGTCCGGGAGGAAAGTGAGGAGGAGGCCTCCTCAGAAGGCGGCGGGGCTTCTCAGAAGCCCTCTGGCCTTCTAAGAATCGGGGGCGCGCAAACATGGACTAACGATCCATGGATTTGGCGCGCGGTCGCCAAATCCTTGGATCGGGGGAGGCGCCCTCCCCAAAATGCGGGCGGTGCCGCCTCGCTCGGCGGCGGAAATCCGCGATTTCCCATGGAAATGGGACCTGTCGCTAATCCATGCCCCCTTGATCCATATTTTGCGATCGCCCGAGGGAAGTGTTCCGCTATTTCGGGGAAGGCTTCAAGAACTTCTCAGAAGGCCCGAGGCCTTCCAAGCCTTCCGAGAAGTGTCTTTTTCTTCTCACTTCTCACTTCTTCTTCTTCTTCTTCTTCTCAGTTCTCCCCCGGGCGCGCTGCCGAGCCAAGGGGCGCGCGCGTGGTGAAATTTCGTACGGCCTGGAGGTGAAGTTCGCCGTCGCCAGCGACGCCGTCGCCGCCTTGGCAGGCACAAGGGAGGAGGAGGAGGAGGAGGAGGAGGAGGAGGAGGAGGAGAGAGAGGAGGAGAGGAGGAGGAGGAGGAGGAGGCGGAGGGAGGGAGGGAGGGAGGGAGGGAGGGAGGGAGGGAGGGAGGGGGGGGGAGGGGAGGAGGGAGGGAGGGAGGGAGGGAGGGAGGAGGGAGGGAGGGAGAGGAGGGAGGGAGGGAGGGAGGAGGAGGAGGAGGAGGAGGAGGAGGAGGAGGAGGAGGAGGAGGAGGAGGAGTCCTGAGCTCTTTTTGTTGGCTGCCCTGGGGCCCAGGACAGGCCTCTCGAGAGGGCGAGCACACACAATTAAGTCAATGCGCCCCCGCGGAGTCCTGTTTGTCCGGCCGCGGCCACGAGCCACCCCGCAGAGGCCCCGCAGGGGGGGGCAAGCTCGCCCCCCGAACGCCTGTAGCCCGGGCCGTGTCTCCTCCTCCCTTCGGGCGTGGCGCTCGCTGCCGCGGCCTCCATCTCCTTCTGCGAGTTCAGCTGGTTCTCGAACTCCGCCTCGAGCTCCCTCGGTTGGGCCGGGGGGGGGGGGGGCTTTGCGCGCGCGGTCCCCCGTCGGCGGGCGCATCCTCTTCGGCGTGCAGGCGCGCTCCACCCCGCCCGCGGCTTGTCTTGCCAAGCTTCTCCTTTTCTGCGCCAGACCCTGCACTCTGTGGCGGCGAGCCAGTGGGGGGGAGAGGGAGTGAGAAGGAGAAGGCCTTCTCGGAGGGCGACGGGCCTTCCCGGAAACCCTCGCGCCTCCTGATCAGCGTGTGATGTGCCTTCGGGGAAGGCTGCTTCGGAAGCTCCTCGGGGTCCGGGAGATTTTTGGCCTTCTGAGAGTCGGGGGCGCGCAGACATGGATTGGCGATCCGTGGATTTGGCGCGCGGTCGCCACATCCATGGATCGGGGGAGGCGCCCTTCCCAACATGCGGCCGGTGCCGCCTCGCTCGGCGGCGGAAATCCGCGATTTCCCATGGAGATGGGACCCGTCGCTAATCCACGCCCCCTTGATCCATATTTTGCGATCGCCTGATGGAAGGCCCACCCCTTCTCACTTCCCCCCCGGGCCCGCTGCCGATCTTCTGCGTCCTGCCCCTCCTCCTCCCTCGGCCTTCCTCGCGCCCTCCTCCGCTGCGCCCGCCTGGTCCTCCGCCCGCCGCGCCTCCCCCTGCTCCGCCCCCTCTCTCCTCCTCCTCCCGCCCTCCTTTGCTCGCTCGTCCTCCTGCCTCGTTCTCCTCTTCCTCGTCGTCATCGTCCTCCTCGTCCTCCTCCTCCTGCTGCTCCTCCTGGTCCTCCTCCTCCTCCTCGTCCTCCTCCTCTGTTGCTCCTCCTCCTCCTCCTCCTCCTGCTCCTCCTCCTCCTCCTCCTCCGCCACCGCCTGCCCTCCTCTTCCTCCTCCTCCTCCTCCTCCTCCTCCTCCTCCGCCACCGCCTGCCTATCTCCACCGTTTCTGCCGATGCCGGGGCCCGGCAACCCGCTCCAGCAGCCACAGGCACGGGCGAACCACCCCGCAATACGGTCAGGTCGGGCATGTCCTCTGACTGGCGGATTTGGGAGGAAAGCTAAACATACCCCCAAAAAACAACTCAAGATGTATCATCAAACATAATAGAAACATCGTCCCCGAACATTTGTTTTGCCAATGTTTGCATGTTCCTCCTGTAGAGGGAGGGACACGCCCGACGTAACAATACGGCCCCAGCCTGCACCAACAACACTCTTTCGTTTCCCCGTGCCTCTCTCTCTCTCTCTCGGCGGCGAGCGAGGGGGGGAAGTGAGACGGAGGAGGCTTCCTCGGAAGGTTCGGAAGTCCCCCAGCCCTCAAGCACAGGCCCTCAAGCACAGGCCTCCTGAGGGCATCTTGGGAACCTCTTGGGTCTTCGTGTTCTCCGTGCTTCCTCAATTGACTGTTGGAGGCACCTCTTGGGTGCTTCTTGGGGGGGCGTATTGGAGCTGCTTGGGGCCCCTTGGGGGCATCGTCGGTGTTCTCTGGGCAATCGGAAGGTGATGTTCCGCAATCTGAAGCCGTCATTGGCCATCTTGGCTGCGTGGAGGCCCGACTTGAGGCCATCTGGGGCCACATTGAGGCAATATGGAAGCCTCCAGAGGGCCTCCTGGAGGCAGTTTTGATGCATCAGGTCGCGGGTGGGTTCGCGGGTGGGTGTAGAGGGTGGAACATCCACCCTATAAGAATCACCCCGACCAGCGAAGCCGATTAGCAAACACAAACATGAATCGAACAAGGCAAGGCTGTTTAGACAACGCCCAAAATCGTTTTGGTAAAAGCCGATTGTCGGGTCCGGGTTGTTTTTCTTCTCTTGAGGGTGGGTCGCGGGGTGGGTCGCGGGCGGGTCGCGTGGTGGGTCGCGGGGTGGGTCGCGGGGTGGGTCGCGGGTTGGGTCGCGGGTGGGTCGCGGGTGGGTCGCGGTTTGGGTCGCGGGTGGGTCGCGGGTGGGTCGCGGGTGGGTCGCGGGGTGGGTCACGGGTGGGTCGCGGGTGGGGTCGCGGGTGGGTCGCGGGGTGGATCGCGGGGTGGGTCGCGGGGTGGGTCGCGGGTTGGGTCGCGGGTTGGGTCGCGGGTGGGTCGCGGGTGGGACGACGACAACAACAATTACCCCAGTGCGACCCTACCTAGAAGTTGGAGCCCCTAGGACAGCAGCATTAGTTGCTATGATATGCTATGCCATGCTATGATGCGCTATGCAATACTATGCTATGCTATGTTGCGCGATGCTATGCTATGATATGCTATGCTAAGCTATGCGATGTCATGCTGCGCTGTGCTATGCTAAGCTATGCTATGCTATGCTAAGCTGCGCTATGCTATGCTATGCTATGCTATGCCATGCTGCGCTATGTTATGCTATGCTGGGCTATGCTATGATATGCCGTGCTGCGCTATGCTATGCTACGCTATGCTATGATATGATGTGTTCTGCAATGCTAAAGTTCAGCGAAGCTAAGATGAAGGTAAGCTAAGCTAAGATAAACCTGAGCTAATATGAAGCTAAGCTAAGATGAAATAAGCTAAGCTACGATGAGATAAGTAACGCTAAACTAAGGGGACGTAACTGGGGGAACCGCGGGGCGGATACTGGGGGAACCGCCCGGGGCGATTTGCACTGCCCGGCCCTTTAAGCCAAGAGAGTAAGAACCCTTCTAGGCAGAGCCTAGGTAGGGACTAACAACAACCACCACCACAACAACACCAACAACAACAATGACAACAACAACACCAACAACACCAACAACACCACCACCACCAACAACAACAGCAACAACACCACCAACAAGAACAACGACAACAACAACAACGCAACAATCATACGTCTCACCACGGATTCCTTATTCAACCACGCACCCAGGGACAATGAATGACCGTTCGGCTCCCTCTCTCTGATGTGCTGCTATCGACTGGCAGTGTACGTTGTATATGTGTATGTGTTGCTGATGTTTCCCATGGTCCCATGGTAATGTCTATGCTGTTGCGTTTGTTGAGTGTTGCCTGTTGCTGGTTGTTGCTATCTGTACTGTATGCTTGCGGCTTGTTATGGGTGTTGCATCGTGGACGTTGTAGGCAGAGAGACGCGTGCGTGTTGGCTAGAACCGTTCTAGACAACCTGAAGGGTCCTCGCGTTCCCCGACACTCCCTCTACAGTCTGAAAGAGAAGGGGGAACCTGACAACCCATTACATGTTTAATTTCCGAATCAAACTCTGGAACAATATTCATACGCTTACGTTTGATATAAATCTCGCCGGCCCAACGGGCCAGAGGCGTGCTAAGATCTCCGGTAACTGTTTAACAATATTCTACTTCGCGCGCGCGTGGCGGCCCCTGGGGGTCCCCGGGCAAAAAGTACCCCGGCCGATAACCCCCCAGATCCCTGGGCGATCCCCGGCAAGGTCCCCCAGAAAGCTTCAGGGGAGGGCAATTCCAAAAAGCTCCCAAGAGGCCCATAAGAGCCCCACACGAGGCTTCAAAGTCACTCCCATGTGCTCCCAAGAGGTCCCATCCGCCCCCAAAAGCGCTCCTAAGAGGCCCCACCCGCTCCCAAGAGCCTCCCAAGAGGCTCCACGGGCCTTCAAGACGCCGCCACGGAGCCCCGAGAAGCCCTAAATAAGCCCCCGAGAGGCCCCCAAGACGCCCCCAAGAGGCCCCACAGGCTTCCAAGACGTTCCCGAGAACTTCCAAGACGTTCCCGAGAACGCCTGCCAAGATACTCCTGCGACGCCGAATTCACGTCGAGCCGAAACGGCGCACCGCCAAATCGTGAGCCAGAGTTCTTTTTGCTGCGGCCCCTCTTGCCCTGGCTTTGCAAGCAAGTGCCAGCGATGCGGAATGAGCGAAGCGATTGAATCAATTGATTTGAGGATCCTCGGGGTTGATCCATGGACCCAAGTCCCAAGAACAATCCTCTCGGGACCAGGGCCCATGTCCTTCCTGCACCGATCCTGGATCAAAGGCCACCACGCGCACTCAAGTTACGCAGGACCCGCCATGAAACCCGTGCCTGTCGTGCCGCCTCGTCTATGCTCAAGAAAACGTCCACAACGTCAGCGTCGCCCTCCGCCTCCTCCTCCTCCTCCTCCTCCTCCACCCTCCTCCTCCTCCTCCTCCTCCTCCTCCTCCTCCACCCTCCTCCTCCTCCTCCTCCTCCTCCTCCTCCTCCTCCTCCTCCTCCTCCACCCACCTCCTCCTCCTCCTCCTTCTCCTCCTCCTCCTCCTGCTCCCTTGCCGTCGCCAGATCGCGGCCGACGCGAGGGCGCGCCGCGCGCGTGGCGCCTCAGCTGCGCGGTAAGCTCTTCTATCTTGTCGTCCTTGGAGGGCGAAGGGCGACGACGATGAGGACGAGGACGACGGAGACGACGAGGACGACGACGAGGACGACGAGGAGGAGGACGACGACCACGACGAGGAGGACGAGGACGAGGACGAGGACGACGAGGACAGCAGGGCACGCGGCGGAGAACTCGTGACCTCTTGGCCCCAGCAGCGCGCAGCTCGACTGGGGCTGCCTGAAACGATTGCTGGCCTCGGACTAGGAGGTGTCCACGCTCTGTCCGAGGGACAAAGGCATCTTGAGCGAAAGTGGCTACGGAGGAGGAGGAGAAAGAGGAGGAGGAGGAGGAGGAGGAGGAGGAGGAGGAGGAGGAGGAGGACGACGGGTCGCCAAAGCCCTTCGGAGAAACACTCCACCAAGAGGGGGGCCGACAACGGGCTCCAAGCAAAGGCTGGCACCGAGACACCGGCGGAGATCTCAAGGGGTCCAGCGCCAACCCAAGAATCGGCGGCGCGCCCCATGGGAGGAAAGGAGGGAGAGGGGGCAGGGGGAGGAGGAGAAGGAGGAGGAGGAGGAGGAGGAGGAGGAGGAGGAGGAGGTGAAGGAGGAGGATGAGGAGGAACAGGAATAGGAATAGGAGGAGGAGGAGGAGGAGGAGGAGGAAGAGGAGGAGGAGGAGGACGACGACGACGCGGAGGAGGAGGAGGATGACGACGAGGAAAAGGAGGAAGAGGGGGCAGGTCCTCTCGGAGGGCGGCGGGGCTTCTCAGAAGACCTTGCCTTCTGAGAGGCCGCCTCTGTCTTCGGAGAAGGCTTCATTGGGCTACCTCTCGGCAGGCCCGAGGCGCTCCGAGCCTTCCGACATGGCCCGCCCCGTCCGCACTCCCCCCCAAGCTTGCTGCAAAGAGTGCGCCCCCTTTCCGAGGCTCGTGCTCTCTCGTGCAGTGCCTCCCTCTTGCAAGAACAACACCGAGAGATCGAATCGCGGAATCGGATCGGATCGAGGAGTGCATCGAGCCGGGCCGCACCGGCACGGAACCGAGATCGAGGCGGATCGGCTGCGCCGTGCAGACGACGGGCCGCAACGGACTGCACGGGCATCGGAGTCGAATCGAAACGGGCCGGCTGTGGCCCACATCGAATCGGATCGATCGGATCGACACGGACCCTGTCTTGGCTTCCGGCGTCCTTCGGCTGCAGCGAGAGCTCCACCTCGCGAAGCTTGGAGGCCAGGACCTGCCCGCGGGGCTCGGGCGGGAAGCGCCGCGACGGCGACGACGACCACGCCAACGACCGAAACGACGACGACGACAAGGACGACGACAACAACAACGACGGCGACGACGACGAGGACGACGACGACGACGGCAACGGCAACTACGACGACGAGGAGGACGACGAGGATGACGACGACGGCAACGGCAACGGCAACTACGACGACGACGCCGGCGACGACGAGGACGACGAGGACAACGACAACGGCAACTACGTCGTCGACGACGACGACGACGAGGACGACGACGACAACGACAACGGCAACCACGTCGACGACGACGACGACGACCACGACGAGAACGACGAGGACGACGAGGACGACGACGACGACGACGACAACGACGGCAACTACGGCAACTACGACGACGACGACGGTGCCTCCCTGGATCTCTCCTTTGAGTGCGTTTCTTCCAGGACTCTAGACAGGGGGAACCCACTCGTGGCTCCGAGAGCGGCCCTGGAGGCCCAGACGTGGCCCCGCAGAACCTCGCTCCTCGGACCTCGACCGACGGCGACGACGTCGGGGGACGACACCTCGAGGAACAGGGAGGACAGGGCCAGGAGGAGGAGGAGGAGGAGGAGGAGGCCAGGAGGAGGAGGAGGAGGAGGAGGAGGAGGAGGACGGGTCGCCTAGCCCTTCGGAGAAACCCTCCAGTCGCGCCGCCGCTAGCCGCCGTGCGCGCCCCTCTCCAGAGGACCGCCCTGCCGAGGATGCCGCTCCCCCCATGAGGCGATCGCGCCGCCAGAGGAGGCGTGCCCCTCGGTGCGGTGACTCTGCGCGGTGGAATACTCGGGCAGTTTGTGCGGAGGAGTGTCTGCGAGAACGGCTTCACGATTCCGCACCCCCACGTTAGAGCGCAGACAAGCCAGCCCCACAATGAATCGCCCCGACCAGCGAAGCCGCTTCGCACACACACCGAGGGAAGGAATCGAGCAGGGCGGGGCTGTGTAGTGCGCGCCCAGGGCCGTTTAGTACAGTGGAGGTTAGTCCACAAGAAAACTTTTCACAAGAAACCCAACCCTGAGACCCCAGGAAGTCCATTGATTTTTGGCGTGGGAACGTCGCGCTCTCCATCGCAAAACCATCGAAACCCAGGGCACCCTGGAGGCAAGCAGTGTGTTTCTTGGCATGGGTTTCTACTATAAACGCCAATCGTCGGGGTCTAGGTATTTTTTCCTCCCTTGACGCGTGCTGCTGGCCACAGGTCTCCTCCTGCTCCTCCTCTTCCTCCTCCTCCTCCTCCTCCTCCTCCCCCTGCTCCTCCTCCTCCTCCTCCTCCTCCTCCTCCTCCTCCTCTTCCTCCTCCTCCTCCTCCCCCCTTCGCTGGGCAACGCTGCATGGTCTGCGCGCGCTGGCAAACCTGATCCCTCCCTGCTGCACGCCGCGTCTTGCTGGCCACAACCGTAGCCCCCCAAGGAGTTTGACATGGGGAGTTGATGGAATTGGGACTTGTGACGCGCGCAGGGGAAAACACAAGGCCACCGATATACAATGCCGTTGCCTGCTCCAGGGCCAGGGCGTCTTGCCTGAGCGAGGGGGAAGCTAGAATGAAGGGGCGGGCGGAGAACCATCTTGAATTTGTTCAGCGTGTTCACCTTCGACTTGTAGTGGCCTTGGCTGCCAGCGCATCAACAGTATCAGTAGCAGCGGAAGAACGGAGTCGTCGTCCTGGTCCTCACTTCCCCCTCCCCCCCCTCCCCCTTCCCCTCCTCCGCCTCCTCTTGCTCTTCCTCCTCCTCCATTTCTATTCCTTACAAATAACTTCTCCCTGTCGCATCCCGCGGCCAGTTTTTATGGCGGGCCGGGCGTTTCGCCTGAGACTTCCTCACTTTCTTAATGGCCCTGAAGCTTCAACATCGGTAACAGTTTCACAGGAGGGCGGGTGGTTTTCAAAATGTGGCTCTCGCCTTATCGCCGCGCGCATTCGTTTTGAACATGCGCAAGGGTATCACGGATTGGGGGCGGGTGGTTTTCACAAAATGTGGCTCTCGCCTTAGCTCCGTGCGCATTCGTTTTAAACAATGTGCAAGAGCTTCACGAATTGAGGATAATCCGTTTTCAAATGTGGCTCTCGCTTTAGCGCCGCGCGCGTTCGGTTTGGAAATTTCCAAGAATTTCACGGCTTGAGGACGGTAACTTTTCAAAATGTGGCTCTCGCCTTAGCGCCGCGCACATTCGTTCCAAAACTTTGCACGAGTTTCATGGATTCCCATGGTCAAAGTACAAGAAATGTTGCTTAGGAGGGATTCAGGATTACGAGGGTGCAACAATTACGTTCGTTCGTTGTGTTGAGGTCCCACGAATGGCGTTCGGGCGCAGTTCATGATCGTCCAAACGCAACAATCAGGTTGATCCGTGGCGTTGGAATCCCGAGAGCAATATTTTGGCATGCTTCAGGGTCTTCAAACGGTTGTCTTCCAACGAGGCAGATCCCTCTGTGTAAATGCACTGTTGCAAGGGCCTTTGAAGAGGGAGCCTGGAGGGAGGATTTATTCCAACATCGTTGATGACTGTTGGGTTTGCACTGGTCCTCCTCCTCCTCCTCCTCCCCATCCTCCTCCTCCTCCTCCTCCTCCTCCTCCTCCTCCTCCTACCCACCCGTCTACAATTCGGCAAAGTGAGTACTACTCTCCTCTCTCACCTGAATATGTGCGGACGATGACCGGCCCTCTCAATGTGTGGCTTTTTAACCACCACGCGCATTTAAACATTGTTTTTGTTCTCGATTGTTCCGATTGTTTTCGGTGATTAAAAGCGGTGCTCCCGCTGCAGTGTGGGTATCATTTTCGGATCGGCGCTGTGCTCCCGTCGTTCAGAATGGTACTCTCGCGCCCCTAACGCGGGCCACTTTCTGGATTCGGATCGTTTTTCATTGTTGTCGCTCCCGTCATTCTCCCTACTTCGCCTTCCCTTGGCTCCCTTGCTCCTCCCACTCCTTGCACTGCGGTTCCTGCTGCTGCCGTTCGTCCTCGTCCTCCTCATCCTAGTTTTCTTCCTGCTCATCCTCCTGTTCGCCCGCCGCCTCCGATGTAACTGCGCAACTCACCGTCTCTTTTCCGATTGCGGACAACACGACGGGCTGTTCTTGGGAGTCCGAAGTCGGGTGTAACACGCAGCGCGATGGGAATGGATGGGGCGAGGGATGGGATGCAACATGTGGCGCGAACGCACCTTGCACCTGGCTTGCCAATTCCCTCCCCCTCCTGCTCCGTCGAGGCGCAAGCGACGGAGGGAGGTGTGGATGGAGCTTTGCGGCCACCCGCGGCCGGCCTGGTCTGGTCGGGGGAAGGGGGGGGGGCATGCTACACGGCGGGCGCGTCCGCAAGAGGTCCTCGCAATCAAGCACACCCAGACCTGAGAACCTGCGCGCGTGATGCGACTGGGGAGAAGCCACAAACACCATGAGCGCAACAACAGAAATCGCCGCTCACCGCGCGGAGCGACGACACCCGAGATACCCTGATAAGAAACCTTCAGCTTCGTGACGCGCGGCCGAAGTCAACGGACAGACGGACGGAGGGACCATCGCATCAAGCGAGCCTGTCCCACTACGGGGTAGGGTGGAAAAACACCGTGGCGCTATTCTACTGCATCCTGCAAAGCTCTGATCCCCATATTCGCCTCGCCAGGGCGCCAATATGATAGTTATCCAAACCAGTTTTGCGGTGTGGCGGCCATCCCACGAGAACGCAACAACTCACACATTTCGTCACATCATCTCCGATTCGTCCGTTTTGGTCGCCTGCCCTTCTGGCGCACATGGTCCTCAGGATCCCATGTCGCTGCTCTGCAAAACCAATGGTCGACGGGCAGTTGCACAGCTCGCGAAGCAAACTTCCAGACTTTGCGACATCACGAAGAGCGCCAGTCGTCGACGCCTGGCTGGAACATCGGATGGTCCATGTAATGCGTGACTCGTTTTATCCAGACCACCCGCGGTTCGAGATGTTCGCCCTCCTCGCCAAACTCGGAGTACTTGCTCTGATATCCCATGGCTGTCGGCGACGCACTTGGGGCCGGCGGCGAGGATGAGGTTGATGAAGCAGGAATAAGAGTAGGCATGCCAACGGCACTAATGATAAGCAAAACAATAACACGAACAATGATGAAAATAATAACAGTAATAATAATAATAATAATATAAATAATAATAATAATAAACATAATTATAATGATAAGGCAAAGCAGAACAAGAAGGGAGTAAGGACGCAACGAAAGGAGAACGCTTCAGCAGAGAGGACGGGACGGGCCGGTACGGGCGTGGACGCCGCTCCACCGCGCATGCGGGGAGCGCCCGCCGCGCAGGACGGCGGTGGGGCCGTAGCCGCAGGTCGGGCGTACCCCCTCGACAGGCGGTTTTTGACGAAGAATAAGAATGGTCACAAAGTGTTCACGAATGGTCAAAGCATCACTGCTTCCGTAGGAGGGACAGGCCCGACTTAACCGTAGCCGCTCACAAAAGCACCTCGTCGTGCCATCGGCGTCGAGGACCGCGTGGGCGTCTCTCGGGCGGGCGGCAATGGAGGGTGACCCAGACGGTGACGGCGGCGGCGGCGGATCAGCATGTGGTAAGAGTCTCGGCAGAGCAGAATCGACGACCGCTGGGCGCAGGAGAGCTGTTGTAGCCCTGGCGTTGTCAAACTAATCGAGTGCCCCCCCCCGGCAGGCTCAAAACCCAGCCATGGGGACCCCACTGGGTATGCAACGGGTCGTGAAACCATTGCCCTACCATAAACAAAATCGCACTGTGAATGGACTCAAACGGGGGACAAAGAGAGGGGCCCTGCGGGGCCCTCTGCGGCCCCATGGGGCCTCTGCTGGCTCCAAGGGGCGCCCTGAACGGCCTCTGCAGGGCCCACCTCTCCCCCCCCCCCCCCCCAAGCAGGTCACCCCCCATGGCCGCCCGAGCGGCATTACAGAACGGCGGCCAAACACAGAAGATCCAAGGGTACACGTCGGTCGGAAGAAGTAGGTCGAAACATGAAGTAGAAAGGCGGATATAGTGGATTGGGTCCAGGTCCTTCCAGATAATAACAAAACACAGCCAAAACATGACGATTCTTGAAGTAGGAAAGCGCTTGAAGTAGATTGGGATCTGGAAATCCAAAAATGCCTACTTTCAACGACCGGCGTGTACCCTCCCCCATGATTCAGAAGAACACACGACAAGCACGAAGAACATCAGGGGCTACCCTCCCCGAGCCGATCTTGATCTTATGCCTCGGTCCGACTGCAACTTGCCTTGGACCCGGGGGCTTTCCGCCAAGACCGGTCCTTCATTCCCATTTGTGTGACCCGAAAGGGGGTCCAGCTGAAAGGGAGTGGTGGAATAGATTTGGGGCAAGTGTAATGCGCCAGAGAATTCTAGTACATTGTATTGCAACTAATACGTTGCACACGAAAATCCAGCAACACATTTGCGCTCTGGAATGTATTGCACGCCTCAAACCGATTGCAACCCACAAATCTATTGCACCACCCTCCTTTCGCTGGTCCCCCTCTTGTCGGGGATGGACAGGCATCCCCTTTAGCACAACGTGGTTTAGTGAAAACGACTTCGGGCCCAAACCTGGCGGGCGCAGGCCTGGAAAATGACCGCCGCGGCGCCCTCTCGAGAATCGAATACGGACGATTCACGAATCGACGTGTCGGGGTGGGGGCTCTGTCCACCCCCGATTTTTCATGGGCGGCCAAGAGGGGGGCCGTCTAAAACGGAGGGGGGCGCAAATCATGGCCGGTGGCACGTGCGCGGCCCAGGGGGGGGGGCGGGAACGTATTGAAGTAAGAAGAAGCGCCATGACACCTAGGGAGATAGCATGGCCCCCGCCATGATGTCCCCCCCTAGTCATCACCCCCCTCTCTGCCGCCCCCGAATTCGAAAATTTAGTGGGAAGCCAGACCCGCCGGAGCCGTTTGCTTGAAGGTCCCCGGGGGCGTGGGGCGGGCCTCCTCCTCCTCGTCCTCCTCCTCAGCTCTCTTCTTCCTGCCTCCCTCCTCCTCCTCCTCCTCCCAGCTCTCCTCCTTCTCCTCCTCCTCCTCCTCCTCCTCTTCCCTCCCTCCTCCTCTTCCTTCTCCTCCTCCTCCTCCTCCTTCTCAGCGCTCCTCCTCCTCCTCCTCCTCCTCCTCCAGAGCGGCGACGGTGCCTCCCAGGGCCCGCTCTGCCCCGGCCCGATGTGGGCGGCCCCCGGCGGGCCGCGAGGAGGCCCGGGACCTCTCTGCTCAGGAGGGCCAATGCCGCGCGGCAGAGGCCACGACGCCGGACGCCCAGGGAGGAAGGGCGGAGGGGGGAGAACGATGAGGAGGAGGAGGAGGAGGAGGAGGAGGAGGAGGAGGAGGAGGAGGAGGAGGAGGGAGGCCCAGACATGCTCGCGTCGTGAAAAAAACTAGGACGGGACATTTTTGGCCATGTTCGGCCCTGGGGGGCCCTCGCCGGGCCTCGGGACCGTCACAAAAACGACTCAGGATGAAAAACTGGTCCCAAGGAAAGGGTCAGGACTTCGAGTGACGCCGCCCTGAAAAAATCAGGACGTCGCATGTCTGGGGAGGAGGAAAAGGAGGAGGCCCACTGACCTTGGAAGCGCCTGCAGCCGGTCCGGGACACAAGTCTTCTCCCTCCTGGTTCCCTCTCCTCGACGAGCCAGGGGGGTGGCTGATGTCTCGACGACGTCCTCTTGAGGAGGGTCGGTGCAGGAACTGTCTTTCCCATTGATGCACGTTTCCCCGTTTGCGCACGTACCAAGCGGCTCGGAAAAGAAACGAGTAGACTTGCTTTGAGCTCCACGCCCAACTCCCCCAGACGCCCGGCAGAGGCGGAACGCCCACCGCAGCCGAGGGACGTGCGGCGGCATATTATATATATATATTATATATATATATATATATATATATATATTATATATATACACACGAGCCTACTGCCGCTCCAGCGAGCCAAGGATGGGGACCAAAGGGGGGCGACGAGGAGGGAGGACCTGGGCTGACGGCGCTGGCCCTGGGGGCGGCTTGGGCTGGGCCAGGTCGAGCCGAGGTGGCGCAAGGATGATGCAGAGGCGGAGGAGAAGGAGGAGAAGGAGGAGGAGGGGGAGGAGGAGGGGGAGGAGGAGCAGGAGGAGGAGGAGGAGGAGGAGGAGGAGGAGGAGGAGGGGGAGGAGGACGGGGAGACCAGCATGCCTGACGGGGGCCACCTTGGGTCTGGGCAAGGTGCGCGCGCCCTCCCTGGCGAGGCGGCCGGAAAAGGCTGTGCACCACCGCCGGAGCCCAGGACGGCTCCGGCCAAGCGCGGTGATGTACAGTGCATGCCAATCCACGAGAAACCTTCCGCAAGAAACCCAACCCTGAGACCCCACGGCGTCCCTTGACTTTTGGTGTGGGAGCGCCACGCTGTCCATATCAAAGCCATCCAAGCCCAAGAAACCCAGGGCACCCTGGAGGGAAGCAGGGTGCTGCTTGGCATGGGCCCGCACTGTACCGATGCCTTCTTCGGATGGCCACGACAGCAAAGGGAACACCACGGAAGGAAGACATGTGATATAGTTTCCCAGCGGTTTCGAAGAGTGTACATCTCTGGTTGCGGGAGAAAAAGAACCAGGCGACATGCCACTGCTTAAAGGCATGTTCTCCTCTTTCGTGTAGTGCGCTTCCACTACGGAGCCGATCATGCGCAACATCATCAAACTAAAACATAAATATATCACTGTAGAAGTGCGACCGTCGTATGTACACCTCCTGCAAACCCACTTGTAATGGCACTGGGGCCAACATGTCGCGTCTGATTCGAACATTGCTTAGGTATTATTATATTGGAAGCTGTATTGGATGCAGGTTAACCTATGATACGGAGGTCAGCCCATATATGCTCGGCCGCTTGTTCCATTCATCGCTTTACACATAATGCGCGGGGCTATTTTGTCCTTCCTTCTTGTGGAGGACGTCTGCAGGTCCTTCGAGGCTTCAGCCACGGTCGCCCTGGTTTCTGTCGGACCAGGGGTTGGCGGCTATGGCGTCGTTCTGGACCCTGGATCGCATTCATGCCGAGATGGTGCGCATCCTCAGGGCAAATGGCGGGGCCCGTTTGGGGGCGCTCAGCAGCACCATCATACGCGCACGGAAGTGCGTGTGGCGACCGCTCTTAGCAGAGTGGATCGCTCGTCACCCCAGCGATACTTTTGTCGGGGATGGTGTTTTTGTTCGGCAAGGGACCCCCCATTACCACGTGGCTTTCGGCTAAGGCCCTTCATTCCAGCACTGCTATCTAGCTGGGTGCCGCCTGCGAAGCACTCGAATCCACCCAGGGTGGTGAAGGGTTACGGCAGCATCAGCAGGGTTGTCGAGCGGCAGGGAATCCTCCCAGGCTGCGCTCATACTATTATGCTTCTCACAATGCCGACGTGCAGGATGCTGCGTCAGGTCGAGAGGGTCGTCATGTCTGCGTCGTCTCACGCGTCAGTCGACGACGCGACGCTGCAGTGGAATGGCGCGCAAGTGGCGAGGATCCAGGAACTGCCGCTAGCGACAAGATGCTTCATCCGGGAGTGTCGACATCCTCTATCATAACCCCGTGGACCCCCTCAGAACCGCTTCACTTCCCCCCCCCTCCTCCTCATCCTACTCTTCCTCCTCCTCCTCGTCCATCTCGTTCTCCTCACTGCCCCTCTCCTCCTCTTCCTCCTCCTCCTCCTCCTACCCTCCTGGCCGGGCCGCCCTGAGGAGACGGCCGATGTCCAGCTCCTTCTCCTTCAGCGACATCTCGCGCTCCCGCTGTTCCACCTCTGGCGGCGGTGCGCGGAAGGGGCTGCCAACGAGCCGGCGCGGCAAGGGTCGGCGACCGCTGCCGCCCTCCAGCGGACCACGCCCGGTGGCGCCTCCGGGTTTCGTACAGGGCAGTTTTTAAGACATGGGATATATGATTTTAATAATGATTAACTTAGGAATAAATTTATGCATGAACTCATCGTTGTTTTGATACTAAATCCCTGCATTTTCAATACATGATCCGCACGCGGAGCATGTCTTAAAAACGGCACTGTATGACCATGTGCAGCAGAGGCCCGACAACGAAACCTTCCACGCGACACCCCGCCCTGAGACCCCGGGACGTCCATGGGTTCTTCGTGTGGGAGCGTCACGCCTTCCATGGCAGGGCCATCGAAGCCCAAGAAACCCAGGGCACCCTGGAGGCGAGCAGGGTGGTTCTTGGCACGGGCCTCCACTGTTGGAGCTTTTCGGGCTTCGACCTTTGGCCGAAGGGAAGGGGGACCGAGAGGGGGGGGCTGGCGCTCGGTCGAGCCGCTTGTGCCAGTCGCGGAAGCAGGCTGGGGGGAAAGGGTCCTGGCCAGTCGCCAGAAGCAGCCAAGATCTGGTCCACGGAGGGGGGCGAGGGGGAGGCCACGGGCCCGCGCCGATCGGCGACACAATGATGCCAAGCGGCCACGTTTTTGGGGGTCTGATTCTGGAGCTGTACTGGAAGGTTTTCTGGGAAGTCTGGGCAACATGCCGCCTTCTCGTGCCTGGCCTGTGTGTGTGTGTGTGTCGAAAGTCTGCCCGTCTAGGAGGGTTGTGACCCCGCCCCAGTCGTTTTGAGACGAGCACGCCCGTGGTGCGAGACGAAGACCCCGCGCAGGACGCCAGCCGAGGCTGGCTCGAACCGGGTCTAAAGCGCCAAGTGTGCAGAGGAAAGCGCCCGGAGGGGGGCCAGAACCGGCCGCACTCCGCAGATTTCGCCCTCCCCCGTCCCAAATCCCTCCCCCCCCTGTTGTCCGACCCGGTCGGGGGCGGAGCGGTCTGCGAGGACCCCGAAGGTGCCCGAGCCCGAGGCCGTGATTGAACATACGACGGCGCGGGCCGTACCAGGCTGGAGCGGGCAGCGGGAGAGACACCCGACGTGGTGCTCTTTCAAAGATCGTAGTATTGAGCATCGGCCTGGGCCCCACTGGCCGATGTATCCCCCCCGACTGGAGACTGTACCGGTACAGTCGAATGCCAATGTCGAATAACCAACGCAGAGACTTCGGTCGGGTTGTCTGGGTGGGCGTTCTCTCAATGTCCAACGAACGTTGCCCCTGACCGGCACCTCCTCTCGTGCTGCTTCGGGCATTCTTCCTTCTGGCTGCAATTCGCAATGTTGTGCCACACTTGTGTGCGGTCCCTGGTCAATTTACATAGAGGTCTCCTGGATGGGGTCCGAGTAGATTGGGTCGGAGGATGGCGCCGCATCGGCGATGCATCGGCGATACATCGCCGATGCATCGGCGACGCATCGGCGACGTCGTCGTCGAGAGAAACAGCCTCCGCATCGAGCCGCATCGTCGATGCATCGCCGATGCGGCGCGATCCTCCGACCCCAGCTGCTCCGACCCCATCTGGGAGGCCAAGAACTTACAAGCCCTGCCGACGGCCTGCCGGCCCACCCCACAAACCTCCACCCGGCCCCAACGCGGGGGGAGCGGCCTTCAGCCGGCCCACGTCGCGCTGGAGCGACTCGGCCTCGGAGCGCAGCTGCGCGTGCATGTCGGTGCTCTCGGCCTGCTCGCGCAGGAAACGCTCGCGCTCCTGCCGGGCGGCACGGGGCCCTCCTCCTCCTCCTCCTCCTCCTCCTCCTCCTCCTCCTCCTCCCCCTCCTCCTCCTCCTCCTCCTCCTCCAGGCCTCCTCCTCGTCCTGCTCGCCCTCGTCCCCCCCCATCCATCCCCTCCTCCTGCTCCTCCCCTCCTCCATCTCATCCCATCGCCCTCCTCTTCTGGCTACTGTTCCTCATGCTCCTAGTTTTGGCGTTGAGCGAACATGCTGTACAGCTGTGCAGCTGCTGCGTCTCTGTGAAAGGAACAAGTACATAGCCAACTAAGCCGCTGCCTCCTGCTACTCCTCCTCCTCGTCGTCCTCCTCCCGTCCTCCTTTTCCCGTGGGCACGCGTGAATGGGCGCCCCTCCTCCCGTCCTCCTTTTCCCGTCCTCCTCCTCCTCCCGTCCTCCTTTTCCGGTGGGCGACGCTTTCCCAAGCGGGCACGCGTGAATGGGGCGGGCGCTGGCCACACGGTGCTCCAGCACTGCCGCAAAAGCGGGCCAACGGAAGCCGCGGCGCGTTCCCAGCCGCAGAGCAGAAGGCCTGCTGCGCCCCGAATGACTGGAAGATGCGGAAAGGAAGGATGCGCGGAGGAGGAGGATGAAGAGAGGGGGAGGAGGAGGAGGAGGAGGAGGAGGAGGAGGAGGAGGAGGAGGAGGAGGAGGTGGAGGTGGAGGAGGTTCACAGGCTCCCAGCGGCATGCGGAGGGCCTCGGCGGTCCCGTGCTGGCACTCGAGTGCTGCTGGAATGATCTGGGGGCACCTCCTGCCCCCCTGCCCTCGAGGTGTTGTGAACGTGTTCGGTTTTCGTCGGCATCCGGAGAGCTTCGGAGAATCCTCGGGGTCACCAGGAAGGTTTTCGAGCATGTTCGCCATCTTCCCGTGTGCTCCCGAAGGTCTTCGAAAACCATCGAGCAACGCCTGCGAGCATCATCGAACACATTTGAAGACTGCCAGAGGGCTTCTTCGAATGCAATGAAATGTGTCCAAACGTGTTGTTTTCTCCCTGCGCACACACTTCCAAATCAAGCCAGGTTGGGAAATAAGAGCCAAGTACCTTGTGGAGCTGCTCCCTCAGATAACTCAGGAGATACACACTGGCTTCACGATCCAACTTTGCTTGACCCTGAATGCATCAGCTAGAGAGAACGTGGTAGCCGTGGGCGTACACCACGCCAACATATTGTCAACGGCAACTGTTCTGTTAAACTGCATTATCTGTCTCTGCGCGCGAAGTGATTCACTCCTCAAAATTCACACGGTTGAACTCTCAACAAGACATGCTTCATCCGCTTCCGTGCTGCAGTAACCGACCATCATCTGGTACGCCCCAAGTTTTCCACCAACTCGGCTTGGGCTGTATGGAAAGTGCGCGATGTCCTCAGGGCCGCTTCGTTCAAGCACACAGGGATTCCATCAAGGTGCCAACCACCTGAACTGATTAGACATGGCAGAACTCATGCAATAACCAATTCCAGTCTGCCACTGTTGTCGTAAGCAGAAGGAAGGAAAACGTCATACACATAAACTTTTGGCGCTCCCCGCGCCGGACTCCCCTCCCTGGCGCGCAGAGGGCGGCGCCGGAGGCGCCGCTGGGGGGCCCCAGCGCGGATCCGAGAAATTCGCGCAGAGCTCCATAAATTTACATTTATGGCGTTTTTTCTTTTTCGAAATCTGCCACTGTTGTCATAAGGGCGCCAATATGAATTCACCGCCGTCGCAATCGCCACAGAATGGCCCGCGCGTCACCGCGATGCTGGTCCGGGCAAGGAAGCTGCCGGCCCAGCC